GAGGCTGCGTGTGGGCAGCCCAGCTCTGGCCGTCTTCCTGGCTGCTCAGGCAGGTCTGCTGCTCTTCTTCCTGTGCGCCCACCACGGGGGCCTCTTTCTGCCACACCCAGGGGGTGAGCGCCCCTCCTCGTCCTCGCAGGTCCATATCCTGATCCTGTCCTCCTGGCGGTCCGGTTCCTCCTTCGTAGGGCAGCTCTTCAGCCAACACCCGGACGTCTTTTACCTGATGGAGCCAGCCTGGCATGTCTGGGCCACCATGCACCAGAACGGGGCCCGGGTCCTGCACATGGCGGCCAGGGACCTCGTCCGCTCTGTCTTCCAGTGTGATCTATCCGTCTTTGAGGCCTACCTGCCTGAGCGGCGGAGGAGGAATGTGTCGGCCCTCTTCCAGTGGGCCGTGAGCCGGGCCCTGTGCTCCCCGCCAGCCTGTGACTCTTTTCCACGTGAAGACATTGCCAGTGAGGGCGCCTGCCGGACCCTATGCGGCCGCTCACCCTTGGCCAAGGCAGAGGAGGCCTGCCATAGCTACGGGCACATTGTGTTGAAAGAGGTGCGCTTCTTCGACCTGCGCGTCCTCTACCCGCTGCTCACCGACCCCTCCCTCGACCTGCGAATTGTCCACCTGGTGCGTGATCCCCGGGCAGTGGCCAGGTCCCGCGAGCGGTCGGCCCAAGCCCTCTCCCGCGACAACGGGATTGTGCTAGGCACCAACGGCACCGAGGTGGAGGACAGCCAGTTCCAAGTTTTGCGGGAGGTCTGCCGCAGCCACGTGCAGATCTACGAGACGGCCACGCTTAAGCCTCCCCACTTCCTGAAAGGCCGCTACCTAATGGTCCGGTTCGAGGACATCGTGCGGGACCCCGTCGGGGAAATCACAGCCATGTACGACTTTGCCGGCTTGCGGCTGACTCCCAAACTTCAGGCTTGGATCCACAATATCACGCATGGGGCCGGGCCGGGCCGCAAGAAGGAGGCCTTCCAGATCACCTCCCGAAACGCAGTCAACGTCTCCCAGGCCTGGAGGAACGCCCTCCCCTTCCAGAAAGTCAAGCAAGTGCAGGAGGCTTGCAAAGGCGCTTTTGGCATCCTGGGCTACCAAACGGTGGAGTCCGAGAGAGAGCAGAAAGATTTGTCCATAGAAGTGGTGTTGCCCCATCGAAAGAGCCAGTTCAGCTGGGCCTCCCTCAGTGGGAGCTAAATGGGACATCACACCTCTCTGTTGTTTTCTTCATTCTCCAAACAACGGGACTCTACTCCTTTTGATGTCTCTAGTAATGGCTCCTAGTAGTTATGTAAATGCAAAGAGATGGACTGAAGGGCTGGAACTGGTTCGCAGGGGCAAGCCCTTCCACCCAGTCCCCTCATTGGGATGTGCCAGCTACCTCTTGAAAAAGGAAAGGGACAGGAGCACATTCTGCCTGGCGTGGAAAGGCAGCGTGGGGCATCTAGAAAGCAGGCTTCGATGTGCATAATGCTTCAGTACAGAACACAACTCTGTCACCTGGGAGAAAAGTACAAATAGAATAACAGCAGTGTTTCATTCCGAGTCTTTTAGTGTTTTAAAACTCTAAATATGGTCCCAGGCTCTGATTGCATTCATGCTGTCTCCAGCTTAAGGCTTTTCTTTCTTGGCAAGATTTATTTGCGGGGGGGGGGGGGGGGTAGTCCTTGCCTCCCTCTGAGGCCGAGAGACTGTGACTTGCCCAGGATCATCAGGGGAGGGAATCCATGGCCAAGTGGAGATTCGAACCTTGGTCTCAGAGTCATAGCTCTATTGCCACAGGTACAGGTGAGTCCCCTGTGGCACAGTGGGTTAAACCCCTGTGCCGGTAGGACTGAAGACCGACAGGTCGCAGGTTCGAATCCGGGGAGAGGCGGATGAGCTCCCTCTATCAGCTCCAGCTCTTCATGCGGGGACATGAGAGAAGCCTCCCAAGGATGATAAAACATCAAAATCATCGGCGTCCCCTGGGCAACGTCCTTGCAGACAGCCAATTCTCTCACACCAGGAGTCACTTATGACACGACAAAAAAAAAAAAACAGGTACAGGTTGCAGAATTCCCGACAGGTACCAATGTTTACATAGGGAGGGGCTGGGAAGACCCTCATTTGTTTGCTCGCTCTCGAGATGCCAATGGAAGTATGATTACCAACGGCATAGGGAGCTGGGGGGTCACAGCAATGCCCACCTGAAGGGATGCTGCCTTCTTGAGGGGGATGTTCTGGAACAAGTCCCATGCTGCTGTTCAGAAGGATACTGGGCTGTTGGGCATTCAAGTTACCAGACAAGGGCCTTCTAAAGCAGGCATGGGCCAACTTGGGCCCTCTCTCCACGTGTTTTGGACTTCAACTCTCACAATTCCTAACAGCCTCGGCCCCCTTCCTTTTCCCCTTCTTCCATAGAAGAGGGGAAAAGGAAAGTGCCCGAGGCTGTTAGGAATGGTGGGAGTTGGAGTCCAAAACACCTGGAGGAGCCAAGTTTGCCCATGTCTATCCTAAAGCCACCCTGACCTTACTTTTTTTGCATCCAGGCTGGCAGGGATTCTCCTCCGACCGAGGCTCTTCCAAGGGATGGACTGAGGCTTGGCAGCATTCGGAAGAGGCAGCAGCGCCTTTCTGGGCCATCATCTGGAGCCTGGATAGTCTCTTCGCTGCTTTAGAATTGGCAGGAAAAATCACTATTCAGAAAACCCCCTAAACACCCAAATGCCTGCCCCACCACACACAAGGACCCAATAAGTACATTTCCCTCCCCTTTCTGTTCCCATTGTGGTTCGTGGCAGCCAGCCAGTTTCTGGAATAATAAAAAGGAATCATAGAATCATAGAGTTGGAAGAAACCTCGTGGGCCATCCAGTCCAACCCCCTGCCAAGAAGCAAGAAAATTGCATTCAAAGCACCCCTGACAGATGGCCATCCAGCCTCTGTTTAAAAGCCTCCAAAGAAGGAGCCTCCACACACTCCGGGGCAGAGAGTTCCACTGCTGAACGGCTCTCGCAGTCAGAAGTTCTTCCTCATATTCAGGTGGAATCTCCTTTCCTGTAGTTTGAAGCCATTGTTCCGTGTCCTAGACTCCAGGGCAGCAGAAAACAAGCTTGCTCCCTCCTCGCTATGACTTCCCTCTCACATATTTATACATAGCTGTCATATCTCCTCTCAGCCATTTTTCTTCAGGCTAAACATGCCCAGCTCCTTAAGTTGCTCCTCATAGGGCTTGTTCTCCAGACCCTTGATCATTTAAATCAAAGGTATTTAAAGTGCAGAGGGGTTCCCTTGGGGACATGGGGCAGGATACAAATAAATTATTATTATTATTATTATTATTATTATTATTATTACTACTACTACTACTACTATTATTATTTGAAACATAACAAGATGAGTCCACAGCAGGCACTCTGCTGGCTTATTATTATTATTATTATTATTATTATTATTATTATTATTAGAAACACAACAAGATGAGTCCACAGTAGACAAAATTACTTTGCTGGGTGTTTTATTGGATCACACATCGGATACTTCCCAAGTGTCTAGGACTGCGTGATGTATCGGCGAAGAATGCGTGCAGATCCCAGTAGGGTGGTCTTCTGCAGCTGGCAGGTGGTAATTTTGTCAGCGCTGATTGTGTTTAAGTGCAGGCCAAGGTCTTTAGGCACTGTACCCAGTGTGCCGATCACCACTGGGACCACCTTTACTGGCTTGTGCCAGAGTCTTTGCAGTTCGATCTTTAAATCCTCATATCATGTTAGCTTTTGCAGTTGTTTCTCTTCAATCCTGTTGTCACCTGGGATTGCAATATCAATATTCCATACTTTGTTTTTTAACACAATCGTGAGGTAAGGAGTATTGTGCTCCAGAACTCCGTCTGGCTGAATTCGGAAGTCCCAGAGGAGTTTTTATTATGATTATTATGATTATTATGATTTATTATTCCCGCATCGTTATGGCCGTCCTCTGAGGCTGAGAGAGTGTTCTTTGCCCAGAGCTGGCGCTCTGAGACCAGGACAGACTCAGAGTCCCAGCTCCACAGTCAGCCTTTCCCTTTGCTGTCTCTGGGGATGATGGGAGAAATTGCCGGGGAAACCCACTGGGCTACATTGGGTAGGCCGCACTCTCTGTTCTTGAAATGTGCTGGATCACAGGCTCCATCATCCCTAGGCCTTGCAAGGGGAAGGCAGCTTGACTTGGGAGATGGGGGCAGGACACACTTGGGAGCAAAGGCCCAAAAGAGAGCGAGAGAGGCCCAACTGGCCACCCCCTTCTTTCCCTCTCCCCCTCCTACTTAGAGAAAATTTCGCTTGTGTTGTCGAAGGTTTTCATGGCCGGAATCACTGGGTTTCTGTGAGTTTTCCGGATTGCCTGGCCATGTTCCAGAAGCATTCTGTCCTGATGTTTCACCCACATCTGTGGCAGGCATCCTCAGAGGTTGTGAGGTCTGTTGGAAACTGAGCAAGTGGGGTTTATATATCTGTGTCGCAGGTTCGAATCCGGGGAGAGGCGGATGAACTCCCTCTATCAGCTCCAGCTCCTCATGTGGTGATATGAGAGAAGCCTCCCACAAGGATGATAAAAACATCAAATCATCTGGGCATCCCCTGGGCAACGTCCTTGCAGACAGCAAATTCTCTCACACCAGGAGTCACTCCTGACACGACAAAAAAAAATTTTTTTAATAATGTCCAGGGTGGGAGAAAGAACTCTTGTCTGTTGGAGGCAAGTGTGAATGTTGCAGTTGGCCGGCTTGATTAGCATTTAATAGCCTGGCAGCTTCAAAACCTGGTTGCTTCCTGCCTGGGGGAATCCTTTGTTGTGAGGTGTTAGTATATTATTTAAGAATACAGAAATGCCTCTAACAACTCTAACAACCACTAGGTCAGACTACACAGAGAAGCCACTGAAGCTCACAAGTTGGTGGACAATTTCAACTGAATTTCAATGGTAGAGGCTCCTTCTTTGGAAGCTTTTAAACAGAGGCTGGATGGCCATCTATCGGGGGCGCTTTGAATGCAATGTTCCTGCTTCTTGGCAGAGGGTTGGACTGAATGGCCCATGAAGTCTCTTCCAACTCCATGATTCTATGAAAGGAGGAAACCATGAAAATGAACAAATTCTGGCTATCAGTATTAAACTCCAAAACCATGACAGTAAATAAAGAGCAACACTCAAAAAATGGGAATTCCAGACAGGAAAAAATCAGGGCCAACTAACACCTCCCAACAAAGGATTCCCTCAGGCAGGAAGCAGCCAGGCTTTGAAGTTGCCAAGCTACTCAATGCAAATCAAGGTGATCTATTGCAACATTCACACTTGCTTCCAACAGACAGTTATTTCTCCCACCCAGACATCATTCCACAGACACACACACATACACACCTCACTTATTTATTATTATTTATTTTGTTTACAGTATTTGTATACTGTAAATAAAATCAGTTTACACATAAGTAGTGGCAAAAATTCAATGCCAGTACAAACAATTACAATTAAACACTACAATTAGACATAAATCAAATTAAAATACATCCATGAGAAATAAAACAATCATTAAAACAATAAAACAGTCTCGTCCGTCGAATCGCTGTTCCAGTCATTGTCGACTCACCGTTCAGGTCACTTGCTGAGGCTGTAGGTTTTTCGGGCTGAGGATGTTTGCCATAGATGCAGGTGAAACGTCAGGAGAGAATGCTTCTGAGAATATGGCCATATAGCCCCAAAAAAACCCTACAACAACCCAGTGATTCCAGTCATGAAAGCCTTCGACAATACATCTCTCTTGCCTAGTTTCCAATAGACTTCACAACCTCTGAGGACGCCTGCCATAGATGTGGGCGAAACGTCAGGAGAGAATGCTTCTGAGAACATGGCCATATAGCCCGAAAAAACCTACAACAACTCAGTGATTCCAGTCATGAAAGCCTTCGACAATACATCTCTCTTGCCTAGTTTCCAACAGACCTCACAACCTCTGACATAGATGTGGGCGAAACGTCAGGAGAGAATGCTTCTGCAGTGTCCAGGCGCAGCCACAAGAGGGCAATCCAGAGACAAGGAAGGCCAGTCAGAGAGACCGAGGACAGCGACAAGAGGGGCTGCTCCCAGTGCGCTTGCGCGGAATTCCCTGTCGGACTAGTGAAGCCCTTCGCGGCCACCGTCCCCTCTCTGTGCGCCTGCGCAGAACTCCCTGGCCCACTCAGCCCGGATTTGTGAAGCCGAGGAGGGCTCCTCTTCCCCGCTTGGCTGGCTTCGAGGCCCCGCTTCCTCCGCCACTCTTTCCCCCGGCGCCAGGATGGCGGACGAAGAGCTGGAAGCCCTGCGCAAGCAAAGGATGGCCGAGCTGCAGGCCAAGCACGGGGTGAGTGAATGGAGGGTGGGAGTGAGGCCTAGCCTGGCGCTTCCAGGCCCCATTTCCCCCCATTTGGGGAATGAATGCGGGTTGACACCGCTGCCGTGGCTCAGGGCTAGAGAAGCATGGCAGTTGTCCTTTCCCAAGGCCTTGGGGAAAAAGGAGGCCGAACTACAACTCCCAGCATCCCTTCACAGCAGTTCAAGGGATGCCAAGCTGTAGTCATTCAGT